TTATTTTTGGAATGCCTCATTTCCACTTTATTTTCGCTTATTGGCCCAGGTGTGATAACGTCCCTGGTTGTTTTATTACATGCCCTTGGTTTGCCTGACCTGTCAAAATGACTAGAAGACACACTACAAGAAATATCCAGTTTTAAATAAAATGTTTGCTGAAATATGTTGAATAGCTCTTTTTTCATCATATGCCTATTCTTTCCATGTCATGTCTTTCTCTTGTACCAATTTTTCTGCTGAAGACATGATACCCAGGAACAAGTATCTACATGGGAATATGTAATATGAAAAAGAGAAAAAAATTAAAGTATCATATACCATTTCAGACAAGTGTGTTCTGAACCTTAGAAAGATGCAATTAATTAGTAAATCACAGGAATGGACAAAGCATAGCCCTGCAGTCACATAGATTCATATAGAAATGACATAGAATCCCTGCCATGAAGGAATATATAACGAAATGACTCCTGAGAGATGGCTGTACATATGATATTGTAATTTAAAGGTATAATTTTAAATTTGCTAGTTGTTTATATGACAACTATTACCATTACATTCAGTAATATACAGGAATTATGATTAGTGAGTAACATGAGTACAAAAAACATTACTAAGGATTCTGTATGTGAGGGATGGGAGGAGGTCAATGAGAGGGGTGATACCATGAGTTACTGCACCGGGTGACACCAAACCTAGTGACTCTAAACAACTGGCAAATTTAAAATTACACCTTTAAATTACAATATCATATGCACAACTTCAATGCATTCACCTATACATCGCTTCATGTGGTTGAAATGAAAATTTGCTAAAATGTATTGTTTTTAAATAATTTTTAATTTTTTTAAAATTTAAAATTTAATTTAATACAAACTGGTGTTTTTGTTTTGTTCTTTGGCAGTCCTTGGTTGTTCCATAGGGTCCCAGGAACAGAAAATTGGCTCCTAGACCCACATTAGTTGCCTACCCTGACTAAGAATGCATATTTAATGCATTGCTCTTTGCTTTTTTTTCTACCACAGTGAAATGTAAAGATATGAAGAACCAGGCTGCATTCTCTGGTCAATGTAACGCTTCAACTTTTCCGAAAGAGTGAGTGATGCATGTGTCAGTGGCAACTGTCAAATGCCTCCCTTCCCTTTGCTCCCTCCTTCCTTCTTGAACTCAAGAATGTTGATCTCTCACCCCACTGAGCTATCACCTGTCTAAATCTGTCCTTGTGTCAGAGGCATATATGGAAAAAGTGAGTATGGCAGCCAATGACGTTCAGCTCCTAAAATAGGCCCAGCTCCCTTTCCTCCCTTCCCTCCATTAAAACAATGTCCTCCAGGGAAAGATCCTCAAAGGACATTTGATCTCACAAGCTTTGGAATTCTTTGGAGGGACCTAACCCGGAAACTAGTCGGGAGCACTCTGGTTCTGAGCCTAGGTTCCTTGGACTTACTAGGAGATGAGCGCTTCTTTTAATTACAAGTCTTTCTCCAAAGAGCAACAAACTATGGACAACCTAGAGAAGCAGCTTATTTGTCCCATATGTTTAGAGATGTTTTCTAAGCCAGTGGTTATCCTTCCCTGTCAGCACAACCTGTGCAGAAAATGTGCCAGTGATATCTTCCAGGTAAGTTTATTTAACCACTTAGAATTCCAGTGGAACATTTTAGAATAAACTCATATTACAAAATCAGGAGGGTAGAGTTGTGCTGGATGTTCTCAAAATGAGGAAAAAAATTAATTAGAAAAAGAAACTTGTTTGTTATTTGATTTGTGTATGATTCTGGATCCCTAGCACATGGAAATGTCCCCTTTATTGGTCTAGACTGAATTGTTATTTCATGTATTTAGACTGAGATACAGTATTAAGATATAAACTCCTGTTTTTCCTCAAAATGGCAAATTTATCTCTATAATAAGTTGTTACTATGTTATTAATTTCCAACCCTTAAACAAAATGGAAGCAACATATTCTTTGTACTTATTCAATAGTATTTTGGACTGCATTTTTGGTAGAATTCAAAGATGTAGCCATGTTAGTCTGTAGAATCAGTATGTAGAGAGATCTTGTAGTACCTCTGAAACTAACTGAAAGAAAGAAGTTGGCAGCATGTACTTTCATAGACTGCAGTCTACTTCCTCACATTTGAGGAAGCAGACTTGAGTCTAGGAAAGCACATGCTGCCAACTTCTTTCTTTCAGTTAGGGCCTCTACAGATGGCCCGTTTTGGGCGGCTCTGCAGCAACCCCACACTACAGCCCCCATCCTCCCTTTTGCTGACCCCAAAAGAGCACCCTTTTGGCGCAGCATGTCTACAAGCTGTGCCAGGAGGGTGTCCTGATGCCATGCGCCGTGCGTAAGGGCGCACAGCGTCAGGACACTGTCAGATTGGGGTTGGGGTGTCCAGCATGCAGCTGCCTCACCCCAACTCCACCTCCAGTCCAGCCCTTTAGGCCAGTCTGCAACGCCCCTTAGTCTCAAAGATGCAACAGGATCTCTCTACATACTGCATTTTTGGTAGTTATGGTAAGTTTAACTTTGATTACCTAATCCAATGGTTATTGAAGTGATAATAATAACATAAAGGCATTAGATCATGTATTATGCAGATACTCTGATACAAGTCTTATGATACAGAAGTAAAAGCATTTGCCAGAAATAACTGAATTAATGCATGCTTGACTCTACTACCTTTTTTTTTTTATTCCTTGGCAAGAATAGGCCTCGAACCCATATCTGCCAACCAGAGGAGGCACCACTGTGGTTTCAGGGGGTCGATTCCGCTGTCCCTCTTGCAGACATGAAGTAGTTCTGGACAGGCATGGAGTCTATGGTCTTCAGAGGAATCTGCTAGTAGAAAATATAATTGATATATACAAGCAGGAATCTGCCAGGTAATGGACTTTCTGTCCCTGAAGGGTTGTCTATGGATGAAGGTTCTGAGCTGGTTGTATTTCCCATGAACGCACATGGAATATGATACCTCAAGGCCTCAAAGTGAGAATTCTGGGTTATCCAATTAGTACTTATTGTAGAGCTGAACTATTGTGGTGTATATGGCCTCTTTTTTCCCTATCCAAACTCTCCTTCTCCTCTTTCTATCACCTGGAAGGTTATAACTCCAGAAAAAGGCTGCAGTAATCATCAACAAAACCAAGCCCCATTAGAGCCTTCTGTTTTCTGTATAAGTAGTTTGGTCCTACACAGTAAACCCAGTGGATAATTCTGGATTGTTGAACTTCTGATACTAGTTATGCTTTGTTTTATTTGGTTTGCTTTATTTTTTTTTTCATGAGGAGTTTTATTCTCCAATATCACACAGGACTCTATATTTATTATAGATGTTTACCGTAGAATGTCAGCTCTGTGTGCTTTGTGGAATTAATTATCATCAAACAATATTCAGATTTATGTGAGTGTTTAATCTTCACATCTGATGAATATTTTTGGATTTGTTTTTATTTGTATCTCACCTGTCTCCCAAATTGGTAAAACAAGCCAGAGATATACCGGAACAAGCGTGATTATAAGAAAGTGAAAAAAATTCTCTTTAGATTTAATCCACTTGTTCTTCTCCAGAATCATTATACACATAACTCTCCTGAACTGTATCCTGTATTTTTGTGTTAAATGACTCTCTAGTTCCCCTGCTGCTGCTACAACTAAGCTTGTGACCAAGCCTAAGCATGTGCATATCCTCCAACTTTTCACAGATGAGAACTGGGATACATGTAGTCAGTCAACATCCAACTGTGGTCAAGATGATAAAATTATTAATGAGGAAGATCACACAAGCTAAGAATGACTGTAGCAGTTTGCTTTTGTCTGAGCCTCCTGGGAAGGCAAGATTCTACCCTCTTGTTTCCTCTTCTCACTGCTGAGCTAACTGAGTGCAAAATACTTTTGTACCCAGAATTTAATTTGCAACAATTGAAGTAAGCCTAGGGCAAAGGGGGGAAATGGGAGGAGGAGGAGAGAGAGATTTTTAAAGCAGCTGAAAAAGTGAGACAACAGAGAATCAATCAAGAATTTCCCAGCCAAAATGGAATAGTTGGAGGGTATGCATCTGTGATTCATAGTTCACAGCTTGTTGTTGTTGTTGTTGCTGCATGCCATTCTGACTTATGGTGATCCCAAGGTGAACCTATCACAGGATTTTCTCAGATTTCCATAGCTGAGCAGGGTTTTGAACCCTGATCTCCAGAGTGGTAGTCTAATAGTCAAACCACTACATCACATCACACTGGGTCCTACAGTCACAACAACTACAGTCTATGCCCCCACCACTTACCACCAACCTACCCCCCCATTAATCAGAGAGCAGGAGATGATGAGAACATTAGCAAAGAAATTTGGCATGAGCACCTGAGTTGCAATAGGCATGCTCAGCTTGCCAGTACTGATACTGATTATTACAACATTCTTTTTTCTTGTTTTGATTTTAAAGATATTTTATAGTTAGGGGCAAGCATTCAGGAATGGAATTTGCTGCCTATACTCATTAGTTTTTTACTTTTCAGATATATTACTCTTTTCGACAATAAAGTGGTATTTATTTCTAAGGAGATTATCACACCAGCAGAAAAGACAGGAACATAGTGGGATGCTCCCATCAATATTATGCGATCATGGGATGATTATCACATGACGTTGTGCGACATCACGATTATCCCATGCATAAAGAGGAATTCTAGTGCTGCTTTTTATTCATGGGATTTTCCGTGAATAAAAAGTGGTGCTAGCATTCCTCTTTATTCATGGGATAATTGCAGGATAATCGTGATGTCGAACAACGTTGTGTGATAATCATCATGTGATCGCGTAATATTGACAGGAGCATCCCACTCTATTCCCATCTTATTTGCTGGTGTGATAAAGTCCTAAAAGTAAATGGGTTTAACATCAGAGCAGGCACAACTCAAATTTATTGCTGTAATCATAATGGTTCTGTCATTTAAATTAGTTTGAAATATAAAATTATGCACACTCAGAGTTTTATATCTAGATCCAAAGATGAACCTGTGTGATGTATTGGTTTGAGTTTTGGACTAGGACACTAGAGGACCAGAGTTTGAATCTTCATTCAGCCATGGAAACCCCCTGAGTGACCTTAGGCAAGTCTCAGGAGAAAGCAAAGTCAAACCCCTCCTGAACAAATTTTGCCAAGCAAACCTTGTGATAGGTTTGCTTTAGGGCTGATATAAGTCAGAAATGATTTGTTCTAATATATCAAGAATGAAGACGCAGTTAAGTTCAGGCTATCTGAAAGACTATGATCCAAAACATACTGCAGAAATAATCCCACTTGAGACTGCTTTAACTGTCTTGGATCAATGCTAGGGAACTCTGGGAATTGTAGTTTTGTGAGACATTTAGCCTTCTCTATCAGAGAATTCTGGTGCCACAATAAACTACAATACCTAGGATTCCCTAGCACTGAGCCAGGGAAGTTAAAGCATCTGAAACTGGATTATTTCTGCAGTGTGTTTTGGATCTGTGTCTTCCTATAGGAGCCTGCCCAAGATTTAAGATCCTTGGGGAGAACTTTCATTCAGTCCCACTACAGCTACATTTGGAGAGAACACAGGAGAAAGTCTTCTTGGTGGCTGCTCCCAGGCTGTGGAACTCCCTGCCACAGGAGACTATACTGCCTCCCTCCCTGATCTCCTTCTGCCAGCAGATAAATACCTTTTTATCTGAACATTCATGAATGAATGGCTATGTGGACAGGCTTTTGATGGGACTTGTGTCCTGTATTGTTGTTGTCTTCTTTATAAATGATTTTATATTGTTCTACAGTGTTGACGTTTTAATATAGTAGATTATTTAATTTAAAAAAATTTTCTGTCAGTTGCTTTTAAACTACATACTATATTTTCATTGATGTTGTAAGCTGTCTTGGGTCCCATTTGGGAGAAAGGTGAGACAGAAATTAAATAAGTAAAAATAAATAAATAAACGTATGGAATTGTGGGACAGGGAAGATGGAAATTTTATTTGTGTGCTTTACAACTAAGGTAATATGCATGGTGGTATGAAGTCTCTATTTCCATAAGGTGGCTGATATTACCTAGAATCATAGAATCATAGAGTTGGAAGAGACCACAAGGTCCATC